CGCACCACCACGTCGGCGCGCTCCGACAGCCAGTCCACGATCTTGCCTTTGCCTTCGTCACCCCATTGGGAGCCGACGACGACCACGTTCCCCATGATGCGTCCTTTCCGCCTGACGGGCGCCGCCCGACCGCGGGCGCACAGCTTGGCGGGCCACCATCAGCGGCGGCCCGCGGCACAGCGGTCGGATCGGCCTGAGCGGGGCAGACGCATAAAACCCCACGGCCTCCGGCTCAAGGCGTTTTTCCGTCTCAGCCCGCCGGAACGCCGATTCCCTTGAAGGATTGATAGGGGTCCTGAGTGGGATAGCTGCCCTTGACCTGCCCGGTGACGTAGACCGGGGTGAGGCTCTCCTCGATCCCGCCGCGCGGCACCCACCACAGCAGGTTGGTCGGCCGCACGATCGACAGGGTCGGGATATCCCCGGTCGCCGCGAGATCGCTGGAGGAGACGTTTTTCCAGAAGGCGGCGCTCTTCGGCGCGGGCGGCCAGGTCGGGCCGGCCGGCAGCCACCAGGCGCCGTTGGGCGACACGGAGACCTCGTAGAAGCTGTAGGGCACCACGGTCCAGGGGAGCTGCTCGGTGACGTCGTGGGCCACCTCCTCGACGCTGAGCGCGATCCGGATCGCGCTCGACAGGCCGGTGAACTCGCTCAGGCTGCAGAGCACCGCCCGGGTGACTCCCGGCGCGCCGCCCGCGCCGGTGAGCTTGGTGTTGCGTGTGGGCTGGCTGCTCGGCGTCACCATGGCCATCTCTCCCAGACTGCGTCCCCGCCCCGCCGACCGGCGTGCCGCGCCGTCATGTCGCCGCCTCCAGGGATTCGACGGCCTCGTCGGACAGGAGGGTGTAGAGGCCGTTGGAGTTCACCGCTTCGGTCTCGGACTTGCCGGCGCCGCTGTAGCCGGGCTTCTCCAGCACGTCGAGCAGCGCCTCGGAGAGCTTGCCGGCGCTGACCTTCGGGTCGGTCTGGCTGGGGTCGATGGTGCTGGGCGAGAGCTTCTGAAAGATCTCGACCAGGCGTGCGTCCACCCCCACCAGGCTGTCGCTGGCCGCCAGCGGGAAGCAGAAGAAGTCCTGGCCGGCGAAGCTGCGCGTGGTCGTCGCCTTGCGGCCCTCGAACAGGCGCAGCGTGCCCAGCCAGCCCCGGTAATAGGCCTTGAAGAGCGCGTCGCTCTCCTCCGGCGAATCGCCGAGGCCGCCCGAGACCGTGCCGGGATCGCTGACGTGCATCTGCCAGGCGCCGGTGTTGTAGCCGCGCGCCATGCAGGCGATCTTGGCGTCGGGCGCCGCGGCGGCGGCCCCCACGGTCGCCACGTTGTTGAGCTGCAGCAACGCTTCGTTGAGCCGGCCGCCGGTGCCGGCGGCGGCGCCGACGGCGGCGGCCCCGGTGGTCAGGAAACCGCCGACGACCCCGCCGCCGCTGCCCTTCGCCTCCCAGACCTGGAAGGGCCCGGCCGCGCCGAAACGCGAGACGTAGTCGGGCTGCGCGCCGCCGGCGGCGACGTAGGTCACGGCGCCGCCGGCGCCCACGAAGACGTTGAGATGCATGAAGTTGGCCGGCCCACCGACCAGGCCGGCCACGCGGTCGGCCAGCAGCGCGGCGAAGGTCGCGCCGGCGACGTACGAGAGCTGTGCCTTCTCCGAGGTTTCGGCGTGATGCTGCACCTGGGAGCGGGTGAGCTGACCCGGCAGCCCGAAGCCGCCCATCTGGCAGGCGACCCGGAAGGAGTTGATGCGCCAGTTCTGCTCGCGCACGAACAACCAGCCGGCGGCCGGCCCGACCCGGGTGGTCAGCGTCGCGGCCTGAAGCTGCGCCCAGGTCGCGGCGACCATGTTGACCCCGCCGACCGCGGCATAGACCTTCGGGGCGGCAGTGATGATGTCGAGCGCGCCTTCGGCCGGCGCGCCGGCGCAACCGGCGGGCCGCGCGACCAGCCCCGGCCCGCCGGCCGGGTGGTAGTTGTAGGGAATGTTGGGCATCAGCCGGCTCCCGCCGCGGTTCCGAAGTGGCTCCAGTCGACCTCCTGCCAGTCGACCGGCTCGCCGCCACCGCCCTCCCCGCCCCCGCCGCCGGACGCGGCGGCGGCAATCTCCGCCAGCAGGGTCTGAACCTGGTCCTGCAGCGTCGCTAGGCTCGCGTTGTGGGCCTTGGCCATCTCCGGCGTGATGGTCCGCGCCCGGCTGAGCTGGCCCATCTTGGCCATCTCGAGATTCTGGCTGATCGTCGTCGCCAGCAGCGGCAGCACGTCGGTCTTGGCCTGGCCCGCCATGGCCGAGAGCTGCTCTGCGCTCGCCGCCTCGGCGCTCTGCGCCGTCAGCACCGTCTGCTTGAAGCCGTCGAGTGTCTTCACCGCCGCGGCCTGAGTCGGGCCGTAGTCCGGCCTGGCCTGGTAGTCGGCCACCACCTTCGGCAGGGTCTTGAGGACGGCGGCTTCCGCCTCGGCGAGAGAGGGCATGACGGCAGCACCCGGCTGGGAGAACGGGGCGCGGCGGGCGCGTGCCCCCCGCTGCCCGTAATGACGCCGTGGGCCCGCCGGGCGTGAAGCGCCCCGCCCGCACGCCGCACCGCGGCGCCGCAGGCCGGGCACAGCCGGGTCTGAAAACCGGGGTGGAAAGCGTCGCAGCCCAAGCCGCGCAACCGGCCAGCACCGCCGCCGCCTCACGGCGGGCGGCGGGCCGGCCCAGCGGGGTCACGCACGCGCAAGCCGCTGCAGATCAGGGTGTGATCGTCCGGCCCCGCACCCGCGGGGGCGCCGATCACGAGACCCCGGCTCTCCGTCTTAAGGTTAGAGTGTTCTTCGCGACCGGCGGAACCGCTGC